AGAGAAAAAAAAAAAAAAAAAAAAAAAAAAGAGACAGAGAGAGATTTGGGGGGGCTTGGACATCTCATCCCCTGTCCATCCTGCCCAATTTTGTCTTCAAACCGGTGTGGTGGAGGATCTGGTACAAGGGAGAGAGTCTAAGAAGATCGGGAATCACAGCAGAGGCCAAAGGATTTTGAGGGTCATAGTGGGGAAGTCTTCATCGTACACTCCCCCTTTTCATTAATGTCACCCTTAGCAAGCTTGGAATTTGTGTGTCTAGATCTCTCCTTTAGGGCAGAAAGCACCTGGTAAACACATTCTTTTTCAGATCAGGTATTTAATCTATTACCTTTCATGGTGATAACTGCAATTTAAAATAGCCTGCAGAAAGAAAGCCAAATTTAACCTAAAGAATAAGGTATCAGGGATGGAATTCCAGGCCCTAGGAGATGCCAGTGGAAAGAAGGATAAGTAAAAAGAGATAGTCTGTTCCCAAAGTGCCTTACCCCAAGATCACTTGCAGGTGTGCACCTACCTTAGGCCCAGCCCACAACCCTCCCTGATGGTCCCTGTCCTCATCCACAGGACATACCTGGAAGTGGCTCAAAAGTGGGTACCAAAAAGCCAAGGATTTAGCTCAGTGATGCAGCCTTGCTGCCTCACAAGTGCAAGGTCCTGAGTTTGATCCCTGGTCAAAAAAAAAAAAAGGTACCACGCAGCCACCCTGCCTGTGGTCTCTCAAGGTCAGATGAAGACATTTGAAGGATGAGCAAAGGGACCAATGGGATGGCCTATAGCAGTGCTCAAAACTGAGGAGGAAGATACCTTGCACTGATGCTCAGAAGAAACAAGCCTCCCTGAGCTAGACATTATCAGAGGCCCAGGGCTGGGCCAGCTTGGCCACTTACTTGTCTACACTGCTTTCCTTCTCTGTGATCCCACCTGAGCCACCCCCCTGGGAACGCCCTACACCTGTGGCAGGGGGTGACCTACTTGCAGAGGTGGATCCAGCTATTAGGCCTGCAGGCTACTTCTTGCTTATTCTGAATCTGAGAAAGGCCTAGTTAGGAGCAATTTGAAGCACAAGTCTCTGCCCAGCCTCTGGACCCTGGAAAGAGGGCAGGCATGAAGAGAAGCTAGAAGCAAGAATAGTTCCCACACAGGGTGGGAAATCTACCTGTGCCATGGGCCTTTGCAAGAGAAGCCTAAGACCTGGCAGGAGACTGATAGCCTTGGGGGAGGCCAGAGATTCAGAGAAAATTAATACTCTGAGTCCTTCTACCCCAGATTCAGAGACCTGAAGGACATACAGACCCCAGAGAGCCAACCAGGATGGGACAGAGAACCTAGCCCATTCTTACCCCAATCCTCACTCCCACTCACCAAGCCCTGTCCTCATCTTCCTGCCCAGGCAAAGAACAACAGCAAACAACAATATGATGATGATGATAAGACAAGATGTTTGGCAGAGAAGAACTGATCTCTGGGGCCAGATTGCCTGGGTTCTAATCTTGGCTCTTCCAATTACTAGTTAATAGCTCTGTGACACTGGCCAAGTGTCTTGACCTCATTGTACCTCAGTTCCTCATCTTTAAAACAGGGTTGCTACTATTATTATTATTATTTGCTTCATGGTTGTTCCAGTAAATAAATGAGTTACTAAATGTAAAGTGTTTAGAATAGTGTTTTACTCATAGTACATACTACAGAAATACTCACTTCCATTGATATGTTCTTCTTGCTGTCTGACCCCAATAATTCCTGCTCCATTTTCAGGTCACTGTTTTTTGTTTCACCCCTATCAAGGACAGAGCCAAGGGGCTCATGATCCACTCTAAAATAAATCATTTAGGCTCCGAGAAGCCCTCGAAGCAGACTTCCTTTGTGTGTTCTCTTTCCAGTTTATAGTATCTCAGTACGTTTTTCCATAATGGGCACAGCCTTGAGCAGAAGTGAGGAGATGGGGATTGGGCTGGAGCCTTCAAGGGACACTGGGAATTGACAAGAGCTGCAGGGGAGCAGAAACTGCTCTGGGATGGTGGGGCCTAAGGGGAAGGAGGGTGGACCCAAGTCCCTGGGAAATGCACCCTGCATTTATCCTCTGCCTTTTATCTTTGGAACTCTGAGCACTTTTCTTATTGCTGGGGGAGTCACTAGCCTACTCTCTAGGACACATGGCAATACTCAGACCTCTAGAAGCAGCCCAGACCTCAGAGATCACCCTACACCACTGCCACCACCAGTCACACACTGTACTATGCAAATGGAGAAGTCCAAGGTCACAGGGATTATAGAGCCAGACCCAGCTTTGTAAGCTCCCTAGGGTCAGCAAATTTCTGCCAAAGGACACTGGTCCCAAGGGAGCTTAGCTGTAGAGAAAAAAACCGGGTAGTCCAGTTTCCAGTTCCTATAGCCCTGTCTACACTTTACACCAGGAAAAAGCAAGAGGCTGGCCCTGTGGGAGAGGGATTGCAAGGCCAACCACCATCTTCCAGGCTCTGCCATGTTCAAGGGCAGGCCTGGAGGAATCTGGATAGATGTAACCCACAGCCTGTGGAGAATACCCCTATCCCATGCAGCTCAATATGCCTTTCCCTATACTGCCTCATGGCCTCTGACAGCTGTCATAGCCACCTGTAGAGGTGATCTGGCAGGGCCTGTATAGTCACCCTCTGCTGTATGCATCCAGTCCAACCTACTGAGTCTGCCCCCCAGCTCCCATTCAGGGCCCCAGTTTCGGTCTGGCCTCAACCGTCTGGGGCAGACTCAGGCACAGTGCCATCTGGCCAGCTGGAGGGGGGAAGGGGTGGGGCCATGGCCAGCTGGGCTGCCCGGAGCAGAAGGGGAGGGCTCCTCGTTAAGACGCACAATTAGCCGCCCTGCCTTTGATCTGAGACAGGGACTGCCAGCATTTAAGTGGAGTCAGCTGCCGCTACAGGCTGCAGCCAAGGGCCAGGAAGGGGCTGGGATGAAGACTTGGAGGGCAGGAGAGTACTAAGGAAAGAGGATGAAAGGGGCAGTGGGAACTAGGAGGGGCTAGAGAAGCTTGAGCCCTGCCCATTCAACTCAGAGAGGAAGAGAAGAGGTCTGGTTTCCATCCTTCAGTGCCAATAATCTGTGCATGCTCATTTGTGGGGAGTAGGGGGAGACAGAGAGAACTTGTATGTATGCAACAACGCTTGCATAGCACACTGATTAGGGCTATGCATTCACACAAGTATGGATGGGGTGTGTGTGTGTGTCAGTTGCACTTCTTGGGGTACACTTCTATTGCACCAGCTCACCTCTGGACACATAGTAGATTACATGCTGGCCTTGCAGCTTGCGAGGCAGTTGGATGCAAGCTCTAAAGTCAGCTGGCCTGCATAATCCCATCTCTAGTGCTTACTTTCAAGCTGTGTGACCTCACTGGCAAGTTACCCAACCTCTCTTAGTTTCATTTGCAAAATAAGGATAATAACAGGACCTACCACATAGGGACAGTTTGAGGACCCTAAAAGCATAAAGTGCTTTGGAACAATGCACAATAGTAGGTAGTTTGAGGACCCTAAAGCATAAAGTGCTTTGGAACAATGCACAATGTACAGCAAGTGCTTAATCCATGTTGGCTAATTTATTGGGCGTCATTACAATACTAGGACCTTCTGGGATGTGATTCTGCCTTTATTTTCCTATCTGAATGTCACTGTGTACCCCAAATCCTAGAAGCCTGGATATAAAACCAGTGTAAAAAGGCAGGTGGGAAAAGAAAGCCAGGCCTTGGAGAGGAGAGGCCAAGTATTTAAACTGCTGGTTTCTCCTGTGCTGGGAGTCTGGCTTGCCCTGGGGGCTGGTGCCCACTTTCCATCCCATTCCAAATGGGTTTAGAATTTAGGAAAATCAATAGCTAAACTGTATGGGAACTCAGGATCCACTTGTGAATCTCTTACCTTCCAGCCCTGCCCACTCCAGTGCCTGAGATCAGCCCCCAGCAGCACCTCCCTCAAACTTCCTTCTTGCTTTCTGAGTGAGAGACCGAGTTCACTATTCTTCACCAACGACTTTCTGCCCAGGGCCCAGGAACTAAGCTACTTGGGTCCTCAGTACAAAAAGGGATACAAGTGCCCTTTGGCACTTAGATCATAGCTGCCCTTGGGCTGGGCAAAGCCCAGACTTCCCCTGGAAGTCCCTATCCCAAGCCTCCCCTCCCCTTTCTCAGGCACCTCTAGCACCTCTCTTTGGCCTCCTCCACCATTGATGCCCAAGCACCATTTCCTCTCCCTCCTTCATCAGATGCATCCATCCAGCCCAACTTTTCTCCCAGGGAGGGTAACAGGACAATAGGGTGATAGCAACAGCATTAAGGAAAGCCCAAGGGAGCACTCCCCCCACACACACCCTGGAAGTTTCTGAATTTAAACATGGCAGAATCCACTTTAAGGGAATCCCTTTGGCAACCTGGGTCAGAGGGAAGGGTCAGTCACCTGATTCCACTTGGGGGAAATCATGGTCAGTGGACCCCACAATAGACAATTCATAGCTTGAAACGAAGAGAAACTGAGAGAAGGAACCAGAATGCCAGGGCCAGCTGGCACCATAGTGGCCTCCTGGGGTTTAAATTTAGCTAGTCCTGGATGAGACGGACCACGTGAAAGACCAGGAAATGACCCTGGAGTTAGGGCGGACCCAGATGTGGAAGGGGGCGAAGGAGCTGTGGTGGCCAGGCAAAGGTGAGAGGGGGACAGGAGGAGTAGCAGTTTTCTTTTCAGAAGCCCAGAGTCTCCCTTTGGGAAGGGACAGATAGAAACTAAGGGTTACCACGGCGTGGTGGGGGGAGGGGAGGAGACACAGCAGGATCCCCGGAGGTAGGGCGGTGTCCAGTGGCCCAGAGGAGCCCAGTACCCTCCGGGCATGGCCAGGAGCCGCTGTCCCGCCCCCTCCCCGCTCTAGGCGCTGCCCCGCTCGGCTAGCCCTGGCAAGTCTCCCCCTCCACCTCTAGCCTTTACCCCCACCAGTCCCCCCAGCTCACCTCCCGCTTATTAAACTGCAGGTGAACCCGGGAGCGCCTGGCGCCGCGCCAATCCCGCGCGGTTCCACCTCTCCGAACTCACCCCCGAGCTTCAGAGACACCCCCCACCCCAGGTCCTTCACCAGGCCGCTCGGGTCTGACGCAGAGACCGAACGAATCTCAGACGCCTGGGTTTACTCAGCCTAGAGGGGATGGGGGACCAGAGGGGACACCGAGGCCGGGGAGAGGGCTGAAGAGCTTGCCCTGCCTCGCCTCACCCCAGGCGACCGGGGCGAGAACCTCTGCGCGGATCTGAGCTTCTAGGGAACAGAAACAAGCAAGGGCTCCAGTCTCAAGGAGTGTGGATGACCTAGAAACTCAAAGGTGGGAGCTGGCGCGCAGTTACAGGAACCCAGGCCCGGGGCGGCCGAACCCCGAGGGTGCCAAGGCCTATCACTTGGTGTCAGCGGCAAGCCCAGGCAGGGTTCTCGGGGTCCCGGCCGCCGCCCCTGGACAGCTAGAGGGCTCGGGCTGGCGAGGCTGGCGGAGTG